TCAGTTGCTTTGGATGGGGCTGACCAATAACGCAGCCTTAAAGTGAAAAAATTCTGCATGAAATTCCATTGTATCCGATTTTTGGTTAATACTCTTATTGTTGTAATAATGCTGTGTTAAAAAAGGCAAAACTTCCAGGAGAATAATGGTACTTTAAACAAGAACTACTTGTGTCTGCTGGCTAAAAATATTCTCAATGCTTTTTGTGCTCGTGTCTGTACAAAATCTTCAAACTTGCATTGCAGTCTCATTGATATACAAAGTCTCAATGATTCACAAACTTTACTTCGGGAAGCTCCAGATTTTGGAAAGCGTTGGTTTGAGAAATTCTGAGAACGATATCCACTTTGCAAAATTGCGGAGTACATTTTGAAGTGAAGATTAATAGGTTCAAAACAATTAGCAGGTGATTGATGATTGAGGGGATGGTGAAAAAAAAAGGAACGAGAATTATAGACAATACAGTGAGAGGGGGATTTCGTCAAGATATTGAGAAATTTGTTTAAAGTCCTGAATAATTCTTAGAATCATGTAGTAATTTTATATATCCTTGCTAGCATACCTATAAGAGATCACATTAAGAATCAATGAGTAAGTGATTATGCTCGAAATTTATACTTCATAGTAGGAACGCGCTATTTGCATCAATCTTAGTCTAAAAAATAGTAGGTAAGACCAAAGTCAAATATAAAATCTTTTGCTGGCTTTCTAATACTTTCAGCGATCAAAAAATAGAAAGTGAGTGTTTCCGTTTCGCAGCTTTCATCGCCGTAATTCGCCAACATACAGCAAAACGGAAAGCCTCTAAACTTTTCTTTATTAGACTTCAAAACAAGAACGAGACGTGGATTCAGTCAAGGCTGAACTGCTATCAATCTGTATACTTTAAAAAAATTGGGTATATCCAACCATTTACGAATACAAGCCAGTTGCGCGATTATAATTCCTGTCCAATATAACATTTTCAATTCGCGACCCATGCTCAGGCCTCGACACGAGGTGGCTAGTTGAAGATGCAAACGAAGCCCCCCTTACTTTTGCGAATTTTTACGAAGTCCTATTTGACCCCACACCAAAATCCCTAAAAAATCTCTAAAAAAGACGTAGACTAAAAAAAAGAGGAAAAAAACGTCGCAAGTTTTGTGTCTTTTCTACCACGAAAACGAAACCACCTTTGCTTTTTGTCTTAGAAACGATACTCAGCTTGCTTATAAGCCACCTATACCGAGCCCTACCCATGCTGCGTCCGCAGCCAGATCATGTTTGCTATCCTGATGATTAATTAGCTTGATTTAGAAAAGTAAATTGAGTGCGTATTTGTATTTGGTGAGCTTAGGTCAGCGGAAACTCAAAAAGAAACATACATATAAAAGTAAGGCAGTACAGTTTTTGACATAAGTGGTCTGCTTCCACTAAGTCTATTATCTGTTAAGGTGAGCACTGGCTTAATCTTGCGTTTTGGTTGACGCTGTTGCTTTTCTAAGGGGTTGGGCTCTTTTCTGTAGTCGACAAGGTGTTTGATCGGATAGTTCACTCATGTATTTTCGACTTTTCAGACTCTGAAGAATACGAGTTTGCCGAAACGTCAGTCTGTATATTGTGGTTGTGGAATAAATATCTGTACCAATCTTGGACGCTGCTAAGAAATCAATCCAGAAGAACTTAACTATGCCAAGATTTATGGATAGTCGAACATGGATTCAAAAAGAAACGTTTCTATAAGGAGGCAGCCTTTTCACAAAACAGTATCCAATAGCCACCCTGCGTGACTTGTCTAAACACTCGCGTGCGCGGCAAATTTTTTCTGCCCCTGCTTTTTGCTTAAACTGCCCCATACTTAATTCACTTTGTCCTTGGTACTTGGTTCACTTAGTCCATCCTGGTCAATTTGGGGCTGACCAATAGCGAAACGGTTGTCCACATGATCCACTCGTTCCATTTCATCCACTTCGCTATTGGTCAGTTCGCTGATTTAACCAATAATGAAGTGAATGAAGTGGCAAGTATGGCGTGTACCTTGAAGATGAAGCCTTCGCGGAATTCGCGTATAACGATGGTTTTCTGCGGAAATGCCCTAACAGCATTACGGTCGTGCGAGTTCTCTGGTGCAATTAGCAAATAGTAAAAGCAGAAGCCTATTGAATATGATGTTTTTTTCGAACTTCGTTGTTTGACAGATGATTTGGAGGCTGGTGCAGCTACTAGGCAACGATGAAACGCTATTTTTGGGTGTCTGCACTTTCTCCTCCCCTACCGAATTCCATTCTTCCTCCAATCGTCCTCTCAATGGTCTCCTCTGATTTCGCATCGTTGCATCGAAAGTGTTGTGAGCGTGCACGCGTGAATCCAAGAACCAGTTGAGAGGCAAGTGAAAGTAACGCAGTGAGCGCGCGGAAACAAGGTACAGAATTTTGGCAGAAGAGAATTTAAGCGATAGCGACAAAATTTCTCTCGTACTTACAAATATGGAAACATTCTTGCTTTTCCGGCAATTTCTATGAAATTTTTAACTATTCTGATGCGTTGCTTGTTCGCATTTACGTACCCTCATTTGTAGCTTCATATTGCACACTACACACGCTAGTTGACGATTCTTCAGTTGAGACTGCTTATTTTCAAGTGAATTCTCCTTGTTTTCTCGTTTCTTTTGGTTTGACTGGATATGTATTAGTTAGAAGTACATTCCACACTTTGTTGCGCTAAAAAAAGATTTTAGAGGAGTTACTTGGTAAGGGTGTCGTTGATTGCATAGCATAGTGTGCAGGGTCACAAATCAAGTTACAAATGACTGAACGGTAGAGTACTCATCTTTTTCTTTCAGCACTCAATGCTTGCTATAGAATATAGCGAATTGCCATTCTGTGGTTGATAAAAAATCTGTCAAGGTCTCGCAGCTACAATAAAAGCCGAACTAATGTTTTTTGATGCACAATAATGTCGCTTGATTGCTGCTGAGAAATGGCTAAGGTACTTGTTGTTCATGCGCTGTTTGGAAGTATCAAAGTAGAAGTTGTAAAATATGACTCAACTCTATTTCAAGAATTATTTTTCATGTAGGACTTGCTGACTACGCCTTTTTCGGCAAATCGCTCACTTCACAGAACTACATATATCTCCATCTCTAGGCCAGGCTCATGAACTTACGTGGCAGCTCCATCCATTGCCTGCATTTTCATAGAATTTTCCTCTTCCTCGGCTTATTCTCTTTCCAAATGTTATGAAGTTTTTGGTTATTTCGACCGGACACTCGCGCATCTTGATCTTGGCTCGACCAAAAATTGATCGTGCGCGGCTCATCCCATAATTGTTGTCGTACAACACAGCATTGCTGTCATTCAGTTTTTCGTGCATTTTTACCTGTCCAGTCTCAACTTTTCGGAACTTCCCATAGTTCGAAAAATCTTGAAGTGCTTTTGCCAGTCATTTCAGTAGTCTTTAACTTACGCAAAAATAGTCATTACATAACATCTTTTCCAATGACGTTTCCCTGTGAATGTTCGAAGAATGATGTATAGGTTTTGCAGTTTAATCGTCGCACATTCCACATCGAAGTCAGAAATAAACTCGTTGTTGTATTTGTTCTTGCGCACGATTGCACGATCGTGACTTCTTTATAGCATGGGGCACATTTTCGACTCAAATTAGAATTTTTTCCAGTTAAAATTGCTGTAAAAATTGCTTTGCAAATGTGATTGTTTATACGTTCGTTCAGCTTCTTGCTCGATTCGCTATCTTATAGTTCTTTGCTTGACTGTCTCTATCGCAGTGTTCAATTAGAACGGGGTTAGGAGGGGGGGGGGGGGAGGGGGTGGAGGTAGGTATGTTTTCAAGCTGTACGCTTTCTAAAGCTCAATTTTTCAATTTTATCTAATTGAAATTTCCTGAAAACAGTAACAAAACATGCTCTCCAGCTTTGCCATGGTCAAGGTTTGATGGGGGGAAAAATCCCTAAAGCAAATTTTTTATTCTGCAGAAAAACTCATTCGACTAATTTTGGGAGACTTGTAATCATCTCATTTTCGTTTGGAATATCACTATAAAATTTTTATTATGATCTTCACCATTGTTCGAGTATTCCACTCACAAATTTTTGAATTTCTTTGATATTTCTACGGTATTTTCGAAAACTGCCGCAGAGAAATCACTGTTTATGGTCGTCTATCACGTTGGAACCTGAGGCAGTAGTAGCTCGAATCTGGTATTCTTATCGGCACAGTCATTGCCTTATGCGTTTTACTTTACTAGTTTTCCAATCAAGAGATGGACGACTGTGGAGACAAATTATTAATCATGCGGCAGGAAATTTCTGTAGAGGTCGATAAAGTCGCGCCTTATCGAGAATTAATGCAAATCGTGCACAGCATCGAAAAAGCAGCCCATATGGTAACGGCTTGTTCCGAACGAAGGCGAATGCTCATATGAGGTTCGCGCATGCGAACGCGTTGCGCAAGCGCATGTCAGCAACTTTATGCACCCAGCGCGCTTTACTGATGGTAAGTGCTCGACTGTAACGTTCGCTTAGCAACAATAGACCATCTTCTGTGCGGACTGACCTTTTTCCTCAAAAGAGGGGGAAGCTTCACTCTTGATATCCTGAGGTGCTCCAAGGCCGTATCAACTTGGAAAATTACCCTAAAGGCTAAGTCAAAAGTCTAAATTTTGCCCATACGCTCCCTTCATGCACATCTTGAATTTAGCTATATCTTCATCATCTATGACTCACACCATGTCTCTAAAAATGATTTTAATAGGATTGAATGCGCTTTTAGCGAACCTAAATGCGTAGTTCTTGCGATTCGATGCGGTAACTGCGTACATTACACACTGTTCGGTGTCTCCCAATTGATTAATGTACAAAAAACTTGTCTTTTATTCCCGTACCGTTTCTGTCTCTCCAAATCGCTGCTTTGGACAGTGCGCTGATTATTTTAGCGTGACTCTCTCTTTTCGCACCCGTTCTTGCCTGAATTTAATTAAAGTTAGTGCCAAGAATTTTTCAGATGGGATCGTCTAAAAAAGTGCCATCTTCAAGATGGCGATTTTTCACAATTGGACTTTTGCTCTTGGGTGCGGCTTTCTTAATGTTCGGCATGTTGATGCATCTGATATTTATTCCGATGCTCGTAGAAGAAAGTGTTCGGGAGGTTAGTTTGCCGTTCATGTTCAATAACGAATGGTTATGGAGATTTGTTACTCACACTCGGTTTCGGTCTAACAGGGGAAGGATACTTGGATGCCGTAGCCATTCATAATGATTTGTATACCAAAAAATGCGCTTTTGAATGCTGGTTCGTAGACTGTCTTTCATATCTGCGAAACGATAATCTGAATGGAGTTATGATTTTTTTCATTAAAAAAATTGCGTTCCTGCGGATGGTCAAAATCATCAATAAAAAAATTTTCTATCCTTTCTAAATGCTGAGTATGATCCAGATAGTGTAAATAAATATTACTACGTCTAAAATTTTCTTCAGTAGCATCAAACTATACGCTAGATCAAACCTGGTGATTTTTACTATCCAAAAGTAGGCTAAATTTTCAAGGAAAAAAGTTCATAACTTTCTTCAAAAGATCGTTTCGCAGATTTCGAGCACAGATTCAGAATCTGCATTCGAAGGCGCATTTTTTGGCATACAAATCATTAGGAATGGCCGTGGCATCCAACTATCCTTCCCTTGTAAGAACTATAGCCAGCATCCTTTATGTCACGAGTTCGGAAACTCAGTTGCTTAAAGGTGAGGGAATTGCTACCAGGACGTTTTATGGAATAAGGCCTTCAATCTAATAAACTCATGTCAGTTTTTACTCCTTTCAAGCGCCGCAAAGACCTAAATACCTATTTTTATCTTAACAGGGGAGGATATGGTGACCCCGTCGGTTATTCAAAATGGTCTGTATATTAATGCGCCTTTTAATGCTGGTTCGAATACTGTTTTCCATATAAGCGAAACGAGAACGTGGATGGAGTTGTGATTATTTTTTCAAAAGTGAATTGCGTTACTGCGGAGGTTGAAAATCATTAATAAAAATTTTCTTTCCTCTTCAAATGCTGATTATGCTTTAGATAGGTATAACATGTTACACCTTTCAAGATTCCTCAATAGCTTCAAATGGTAAAATAGATCAAATACCTAAAAGTACGCAAATTTTCTACGAAAATAAGTTCATAACTGCCTTCAAATGATCGTTTCGCAGATTTCGAGCACAGATTTAGAATCAGCGTTTCGAGATGCACCTTATGGTATACATCGCATTCCACATGGCCGGGGTCACCAAGTATCCTTTCCTTGTTAGCCAAATCATTAAATTTCTACCTCAAAAAATTCGCATAACTCCCCTCCCAGAAGCGCTTTGCAGATACCGAAAACAGATCTGGAGTCATCGTTCAATGCTCTATAAGATAATATACATCTTATGTGGAAACGCCGCTTCGACCAAGTATCCTTTCCTTGTTAGTCATAGATGATATATAGTCATGATATATACCGACGCGCATTGCGTTTGTGCTGAGGCAGTAACTCTAATGAGAATTTTTCGGACACAAACTATATGCGCCGTCATAGCCGTCTATCATACGGATGCCCTTCGCACTAAACTAAGTTGAAAGTTTTTTTCCGTAAATAATTATAGGAATGTCCTAGAGACATTAGAAAGCAGTAATATTAAGAAAAAAAGCCTCCTTGGAAGATAGACTGCCGATTTTACGTAAAAAAGAAGACTTGCGGACCTTTTCATAGGGCCGGTAATTTTTTTTTGCGAAAAGAATTACTGTTTCGGAAATCCAGTTATGAGCGGTTGCTGATTTGCAACAGCAGAAATTTTCGAAAAAGAGTGGCGCATTCAAAAATAGCGAAATTTTGAAAGGGGTTTACATGTATGTATTACAAATGTAATAATCTTTTGAATATTATGTACCATACGTCGTAAAAAAGTAGTCCTCTTTCCTCAACATTTAAATGTCAAAGCTCACTTTGGGAAGCATCCAAAAATTTTCCTAGATAATTTTCCTAGATTTTCCTAATGTTATGCACATAATTTAAAAAAAGCCAGTGTTCATCCTAAACGTCCAGAATTGATAAATGGAAGGTGCTCAATTTTTCCAGCGTTTCTATTGTTCCAGTCCCATCATCAAATCAGCATAAAAATAAAGGTGCATCTGGTAATTCAGCGTCTAGACGAACAGGAAAATCAAAGATAATCGGAAAAATGATCAACATGATCAACGAATTAGTGGCAACATGAACCATTTGCAACAAACCATGCACTACTGTATAATCAAAGGCTTCTGGTAGGGAACGAACGCCTCTATTGAGTTGTCTCATAATTGATGCACGTTTACTAATTTTTTTTTTTGAAAATGTTGAGTTTCAAAGAAGAACAATTTTCCTGCAAAACCCTCTATAGTGCCTGAAAGTGCAATTCTTCTAGTTTCAAGCTATGCTTTCGTTTTTGCAAATCTTTGTTCAAACCGGAGTTCCATGCCTTCAAATTCAATTGACTAAAACATAGAATTCTTTTTTTTACTCTTTTTGCTCTAAATCCATGAAAAGTAGAAGGAATTTTCTTCAAAAAGTATGCATAACGATTGCGAAGTTTGGTGCTACAAAATCCTTATCAACATTAGAGTGAGAAATTTTGAGCCGATCAATCTTGTCTCAAATTTGGCTGGATGCTGAGGCCTATCTATGCTGCGTAAAAACTCATGCAAGAAGCTACTGTACAAATTTCGCTATGTACGTCTAGAGTGGACCTAACACAACTAATGGGAGGAAAAAAATGAAAAAATCGAAAAGGGAAGTTTTCTGGGGTTTCCAAAATGCTGATAAATGTTGGATTTTTCGCAAGATTCTTGAAGAAAAATGCCGTAAAATCCAAAATTTACAGCATTGCACAACCGTGTATCGGCTATATAATGAGCAAAGTTCGCACAATCCTAGTACATTTGAGAGCAAGTTAAGCTGTCTTAAAGCACAGGTTTTTGGAAAAATGTTTAGGAATTTTTCGGGCTAAAAAATCTTCCTCAGAATGGCTAATGTCCAACAAAAGCGTGCGTTATACATTCAAAGGTTTCTGTTCGTAGCACTCTTTATTGAGCTCAAAAGAATACTTCTCAATGGAATTCTAAAAACGTGCATTAATCATGAGACAACCTAATCTTTTGGGCCATTTGCGGGACTGATCCTTTTCTGAGATTGTTACATATTGCTCAAAGGCAGTGACTTGGGAAAATTGTGAGTGCGAGCTTTTTGCAGCTACATAGCCTTCTGGATCCGCTGGGCCCGAGACTGGGCTCGAAAAGTCAAGAAAGTGCTTTTTTGGTGTTTTCTGGCCTTGGGGATTGCTGAGGGACTGGGCAAGGGATTCCCGCCAAAACAGCGACTGGCTGAAGGGTACTGTAATATCACCCATTTGGCGGCAATTGGCTGATTGGCTCAAGCAGCCAATCGCGACTCAGTCGGCGATCGCTCGCCCATTCCCCCCCCCCCCCCTCCCTGTTATCTCCAAGACCGGAACACGCCATAAAAAGCACTTTTTTGACATTTCAAGCACAGCCTTACTCATGGCATCCAGAAGGCCAAGGAGGGATGGAAAGTTCATAATTGCGATTTTTCCGAGTCACTGCCTTCAAGGACCAATAGTCCTCATAGGCGCACAAAATGGCGGAGTATCTACCCCTACCCGCTTGTGTCCTTGTTGGCGAGATGGAGGCTATCGGCGATATATTCGTCTACCTGCGTGCATAGTATATTTTATGTGGTCCTGGTAATGGAGTCCTATAACTGCGCGGCGCCTGTACCTTGGTGGCAGCGTCCTTTCATGCATGCGCAGAATGAAGGGATTTCGGCTGAAGACCATTTTCGAAGTTGGGGATCAGCTCATGGATAAGCCCAGGAACAAACATTCGGTATTTTGCTTGGATACTTTCTTCAAAAGAACAAGACTCTGGTTGGCAAGGGCAAGCTTGAGTTCAGGCGCGCTTTAGGGGTCGCGTAGGGGGTAGAAATTGAGGGGGGGGGGGGGGGTGGGGTGGCAGGGCGTCATTATCGTGAACAGACACACCCTATTTTAAGCCGAAGATCCTGCCATACGGAATGAGTGTAGTTTTTGCAAGCTTGACAGATTACGGACTCTATATCCACAACCATAACAATAAGAACTCTCATAGTAGTACTATGCACTATACGGTTGGCAAGTCAAAACTTGTTTTTACCTCATTTTGGTACTACTTGGATTGTAAATCAGAAAAGGTCAAGGGCGTTAGACATGCATAGTACAGTTGCGTCTTTTGAACAAGATTACTGTAACAACAAATGATTCCGAAGGTCAAAAATTTTGAGAAAATTGGTTGCATTTATATGTTTAGATTGAAGAGTGGAACTACAGGTATAATGTGCCATTTCGTTAGGATGAATAGATGTTTAGATGTGGCGAGTGAAGCTTGTGCAACTCACTCAGAGCTCAAAGTTTCCTTAGTACAGAGTTTGTAATTGACGCATGTCTGGATCTGCTATAGCTGCAAATGCAAAATTCTGTACAGCAAAACTAAAATTGTCTTGAACGTAAACGAAAAATTTGCCGCATGAGAAAAACAGCGGCATCCTTCCTAGTAATCATCCACTTAGAAGTGAACATGGTAATTTTAAGACGAATCTCGAGACATAAATTGATCAGTCTTTCGATAAAAAAAAACTTCTAATAATAAGGCAGTGTTCTTGTCTTTGACGAAGACACAGTGGATACTTGACATCTTGTAGCATTTTTTTGCAGAAGAAAAAACAATGTATATCTAAGTTCTTTTCTATGCACTGATTACTGGCTGCAATTTAAGTTAAAGTGCAACGAATATTCATTGTTGGCATAACTGCGGAACTTTTTTACACTGCATAAAAGACACACAAAGGATAGATTTACGGTTTACTGGTATAAGTACCTATTGCCGGCGATTATGCGGTTTTGAATGGCAGTCGCGCTGCGACCTGTTCAGTGATCGGGCTAATCGGTGCTCATTGAAATTTTGTTCAAAGGAGAGGGAAAGTCAAGACTATGCAAACAGGCTGTTCTACCTTAGAAACTTCTCCGTTCGCAAGGAACACTTTCTCTCCACAATTTTGAATGTCTTTGCAAGTCCGCAAAGCAATGCGAA